TCCTGCATGCTTTCACGATAGGTTTGCGTGTGGCCTTTGCATAAATGCAGGACTCACAGAAAGTTGGCTCACCAGAGGATAAGTCTACCTTGATACCTGTGACCATGCCTTTCTCTGCCAGGCACTGTGCCACAGCGGGTGAGATGTGTCCCATCTGTCAATGAAGCTCCATGACGGTGATTGTTTCCATTGCAGAATTTGCACTCTCTGCACTTGGTGGATGGACCACACAATATAGCCTGCGGTCAGATCTAGGGATCTGCCCTATGACATTCTCTGTCGGGTCATGAATGACGCAAGTTCCATCAGCGAAGGTTGTTGAGTAACCGAGTTCATCAAGGTGGCCAATTGATACCAGAGTGTAACCCACTTCGGGCGAGTAGAGTACTTTGGTTAGTCTAAGTTTCGTGGTATCCACACCATTCGGTACCTCAATAACTAATAATTCTCTGATACCAATTGAAGTGTTGCTTATTTGCAGCAGAAAAAGGTTTGGGTGGAATGTCAGAGAGAGTTTCAAACTGGTCACGGTAGGGTGATATGTGGCGGGTGGATCTGGAGTCATACAACTCGATGGATGGTACATCAACTGCGGTTTGGCTGACATATGCAGCTGTTTCATCATGGGCTTCGACACTGAACATCTCAGGAATAGCTTCTTCCGTGCCCCAGTCACTGTCTGGGCATGACAGGTCATCTCCGTCAACCTTGGAGAACCAATCTGTGTCACTATCGGCAAAAGTGTCACATTCGACAGTATCGTCGTCAGAGGACAATGTGAGGAGGTCAGGGATGTCATCATCTGACTCGTTGACAGTGTCAAGGGAGAATACTCCTTCATCTTCTGAGTCCACTTCTGCAACGGCATGAGCTGATCCTCTTGCGGCATAGTTACTGGCGGTGTGTTCTGCCAATTTGTCTGGGTGGGGGCATTGGAGCTTGAAGTGCTCACGAGACCCGCAGTTCCAGCATGGGGGACGCAGCCTTCCCTGCCTATTTGCATGGGATCCGCAGCCTCTGAAATGCCCACTGCCCCGTCCACGTGGGGATGCATCTACAGCAGCCATGGCTTCATTGCCACTATTTGACCTAGCATTTTCATTGTTGCAGGTGGATTGACCGTCTCAACTGTTCCGCCTTTCGGATTCCTCAATAATAAGAGAAATGAGGATGTCGGGGTCGATTGTTTTGGTGGTGCTGTAGAGTCGGGCAGTTGCGAGTTGCCCAGATGCAAAGATGGCGAGATGGTTTGGAAGTGATTGAATAATGGTAGAACAGTAATCTTTTTCCTCAATGTCGACACCAACTGCAGATAGTTCGTCTTGTTTTGCACGTAGTTCGTCCAGGAACTGATGCACATCACTTCCGACAGGACATTTCAATTCAAGGAACTTGGTACGAAGGTCTGTTTGTGCATATGCACCTTTTTCTGTGTACTCACGAATGATCTCAACCCACATGGTCGCAAATTGGCAAGGGTCCGAATGCAAAGAGCCGTGGAGTTGTGGATCCATTGTGTGAGTAGGTGTTTCACGACATTCTTTTGCCATTTTTCAGCAGTAACAGTTTCTGCAGCAGTTATGGGCAAAGCAGGACAGGGGCAAGAACCATCAAAATACATCCATAACTCTTTGGCCTTGACAGTGACTTGGAAACGCAATGAGAAAATGGCCTAGTTTGTACCCTTGATATCTTGTTTGGGTACGTTCAATGGGAGGGTGTCCGTTGTGACAGGAACAGCAGTGGACATTGTGAAAGGCAGCATTTAACAGGGTGAGACAGTTTCCTAAGGTTCTTCAAAGCTCAGGGCTCATAACCTATAAGATTTTGATAATTATGTTCACGCAGATCTGTAACACACAGATACTCTGCTCCAAGTAAGTAAGAGTGAATATAAGTATAAGTTAGGTATCTTACCTCAGATCGTGCACATGAAGGCAAATGTCTGAGGTAATGGCTCGAATATGAGGCAGCTAAATAGATGCAACACTCTTGTAAGTAGATAAGACTAAGAACAAAGAGCAAATGGCACTGGCCACAGCAGACAATGGATAGCAGGTACAATAGAAGAAAGATATCATAAGAGCAAACAATGTAAAGTAACAAGTCAACAAGAGAAACCAGAGCACACATTGTTCTGTCGTTGCTGGACACAGCGCACACTTGGCTACTTCCAATACATCCAGTATTTGTCCACTCATCCAAAATTTTCATTTTTACTGTGTCAAAATGTATAGTAAGAATGCCAACTTTATCATTGACATTTCAAAACAAATCTTTCATAGTGCAAAACTCCAAAACTGTCGGTGTGTAAGGCTTACTTATTGGGAAGGTCAGGTGTGCAATCCCCGATGTGTGAACAGGCTCAAATTTGAAAGTTTTGCTATAATGATCAAATTCATGGTTTTGTCCCTGACTAGTGTTGTTGGCAAAACTCGGCTGTTTTGCCAACTGGTTGTGCCAGACCAGTTGTGCCTGGTGATCAGCGAAACTCATGCAAACAGAGGGTGGCACAACTTGGCAAAACTTCAGATCATGGAGATATAACTTAGATATGATAACATTTACTTTGAATCTAATAAAACATAAAAACCAACATCCCTAGAGCAAGATGGTGCATAGTGGAGGATGCCTCCTTGCATCACTGATCAACGACAATTTTGAGCACCTGGAACAAGTTCCAAACAGCTCACATCGCTGCTACTGGAAATGCAGACATTGCGGAGACACTGACAACTCATCAGGAGCTCAAATCCAGGGTCGTGACAACCACCTACCAAACCATCTTATCAAGCACTGTACAAATGCAGTTGCTCTTCTGCGCCAAGCAGGACGTCAATTTATTATGGAAAAAACTGGCGCCCCCACTGATTCAAATGCTATTCTTACTTCACCAGCTGCTTCTGGAAGTTCAACTATTGCTGCCATTCCCATCAAGAAACGTAAAGCTTCAAACCTAGATGGATATATTGGATCGTCCATTAAGTAAGGAACAAAATAATCTAGCAAATGCAAAGTTGCTTTGGTGTGTCGTGTCATCCCTACTAGCTTTGAGCCTCGAATCTAATTGTTAAATCTTGAAACTAGCTTTTTCATTCACGCTAATATCCCCTTCCATGTTGGTGATGATGTATTTTTCCATGAGTTCATCAATGTAATCTGTCCCTTGTATCACATACCATCTCGTTATGTGTTATCTCATCATCTGCTTGATAGTGAAGCTGTCTGTGTCCAACAAGAGGAGATAAACTGACTCAAGGACTGAAAATGTCTTACCCTTCTCCTGGATGGATGGGAGGATCTACTATGGAGGAACCTGTATGGCTCACTTGCAGTTAAGGTCAATCACCCTCCTGTAGTTCTTGCACTCAAGAATATGATTGGGCAGAGAGGCACTGCCGAAAATCTAGTGGCTGTGTCTCAGAAGGCCATGAATCATATGGAAGTTGGGGATGGGAAAAAATTCATCGCTGTGACTACAGATAATCCAACAGTCATGCAGTCTTACCATCGCAAACTCCAGGAAGTACTCCCTTGGATTCTTGTAAGTCAATGTCATTGTGCTAAATTCCTAGTGAATACTGAAATGAACCTCAGCGGTTTGCATGCTTCCTGCTTAGTTTGAATACATTGATTGGAGATATCATGTCCTTCCCAGAAATGAAGATCGTCACTCAAACCACTCATGTTGTTACCTTTTTCAATTCATCACACTATTGGGGTGGACAGCTCAACAACGAAACTAAGAAACATAACATGAATCAGAAAATGAAGCAAAACTGCGAGTCACATTTTTATGCATTGATTCTCCAATGTTTAAGTGTGCTAGAGTATCGGTAAGTTGCCCTTCCATCAGAGAACTGATGAGTCCTTGATATGGTGGCCGTGAGAACTACAGTAGGATATCATTTTATTTAGGCTAAATATGAGTATGGATACCATGAGAAATTTGACTTATTGGTACATATCTATGTATGTCTAAAAATCAAGTTTCCTATGAGGAGTTCACGTCAAGGTTGTGATATTGCCCCATCACAGCCAGCAAGGCATAATAGCACAATCAGGTCTTACTTGTTGACTATTGTGTTTTTTTCTTATTTATGTGTCGAGTTATAAGATGATTTAAGGCTATATCATGGACAATGCCCTTAGCATCAGCCATCCAATCTAGATTTGTATGAGAGCTCCTGACAAGGTCACAACTTTGCACCATCATGACAAGCAAGGTACAGTAGTTAAATTAGGTCCCACTGATTCAGCAATGTCATATTTTCCCATTTATGTTGGTTTGATAAGTCTATATTACATGGTACAAATATTGGTTCAATTACAATGCTATCTAAAATCATGTACTAATGGCTTCCATTCACCATTAGTCTCTTGAGTTGCGGGGCATGCAAATAACACAACTCCTGGCAGCAGAGTGCCAACAAAGCAACTCTTCCTGTGTGCTTCAATGTCTGCAAATTCACATGAGTCTCAAAAAGGCACAAAACACGAGTCTGAGTGGAATCGAACTCAAGAGCTTCATGTATACTCATTCTTACTGTTAGATCTAACTATTAGACCATGAGTACCCTCATGATGATCATCAAGGAAGATTGGAGAACGGTTTCATGGGAACCCGCCTCTGATGACTGTGAGTTCCAATCTGGACTCTTCTGACGGCAATGATTGGCCAATAATGTTCATGACAAGAACAAAAATTCATCAGAGAACTACAGGTCAAGTAGCATGAATTTCATGGTATCAGATGTGTCGAGACAGGAGGTGACAAAATTTGGCGAAAGTACATAGGATAAGTGTGCTGGTTAGCTAAACAACTACTGACTCAGACATGCAAGGTTCAATTGTCACAGATATTGACCAACCAGACACAGGCGTGTGATGGCCCTTCTGGCCATGGGAAGAGGGGACAATTTTTGACTGCTCAGGCTCTGTATGTAATGGTGTAATCACAGCTCTTGCATATGAACTTGTGTTCATTCAGCAGATTGTGGTTAGAGGCAACACGCTTCCATGAATGCACGCACTTGCAGTGCAAACACTGGTAGGGCAGGGTGTTCCCAAATGGGCAGTTGCTGTCGTGAAAATACGTGTATGTCGACACAGTCATCAAACCCATAGTCGTTGGGATTGGCATTACTCCTTGATGGTGTTCTATCAGGGTGGGATAACAGCGGCGAAAGGCGGTTGTGTTGTGTATGTGTATGATTGATGAGTGCATTGTGAGGCAGGGGCATGCCTGAAGGAGGTTGAGCATGACCTCTGGTACCTCAAACCCTTCAATGAGCACACAACAAACATAGATGATGACAATGGTATCGTTAGGCACACGTGAAACAGAACAGCGTCAAAAGCAAACACATGTTCCACCTCATACCTGTGAAAATATTATTCATTGAGGGTAAACGCCAACACAACTTACTCACTTCTTTACACAAGTTTGCAGAAGCTTGAATGAGTTTGGCTGCCGCACCATATGCCCACAAATCAATACCCAAAGAGTAGCCCCCCTAACATATTCCTCTATGCCACCGACAAAGAGGCCTGCAAAGAACTGCCATGAGTTAGTATAAATCATAGAAGATGAGGTCTCCAACTTACAACGTCGATGGCATATATGACAGGTTCACCTTGTATTGCGACTTTAGTCCTCCTCCTTCCCACAAACTCATCATCTTCAAACCCACCCCATATGTCGCCCCACTCAATCTCTGAATGAGTATAGATAAAAATCTCGATGTGTTCATACTCCTGGAGTTTCAGGCGGCCCATGAGAATTTCCATGGACTCGGCATGGTGCTCAGCTTTTTCATCTGTTTCGATGTTGAATATGATTTTGTGGAATTGTAAGGAATCCTTGGGCCTATATGGCTGTAGCTTATGTTGCATAATGGCCACAGGCAATCCAAGAGGGTCGAGGGAGGTGAGGACGAAGTGTAAGCACATATTACAGTGACCTATCTCCATATAATACGAGGGAACGGACGTGCATAATATCCCGTATGATACGGGCCAGCGGACCATGGGCCCATGATAAAAATATCCTCGACTATGATGGATGGGCTGGGAGGCAAATTATTCCCGATGGAGGCGGGTGGGCCCATGCAGGGAATATATAGAGTAGATGAGTGGGCCGATGTACATGAATATTAGGTAGACAGGTGGGCCGAGGTAGTTGGATATTATGCAGATGGGTGTATTAAGGTAGATGTGTATGAGAGAGATGGGTAGGTACTTGTTATCACATTCACGGGTGGGCCCAGACACATATTAAATTAGACGGGTGGGCTGAGGGTGTTATAAAATATTGTATTATACGGGTGGGCCCAGACACATATTAATTAACCGGTGGGCTGAGGGTGTTGTATGGGATGTTGTATTAGACGGGTGGGCCAAGGGTGGTATAAAATATAGATGGGTGGGCCCATGTGTATCATAATTGTAGACATGATGGAGCTGAGGTAGTTGTACATCAACCAAATCAGAGGAGGTAATAAATCAAAGTTACCAAGTTCCCGGAGCATCAGGTGATCTCCTGACATGGCAGTGCGAAGCTTGTGTTGCCCTATGAGATGCCAAGTTCCGACCACCAAAATTTGAGTCAACTGTACCGAGTTCCGAGTTCCGGGACCCAGAACTCAACACATAATTTAGTTAATACTTTTTGATGGTGCACAGGTTGTCTTGCAGAATGTGGAATCCGGGGTGCGAAGCTTGTGTTGCCCTACGAGAAGCCAAGTTCTGACCGCCAGAATTGGAGTCAACTGTACTGAGTTCTGAGTTCCGGGACCCGGAACTCAACACATAATTTAGTTAATACTTTCCATGTTAAATGGCCAACCGAAATTGAGATGTTTCTGAAGAGAGCAGCAGGTGCTCTCTTGACATGGCCTCTGATGGTGCTTAGGTTGTCTTGCAGAATGTGGAATCCGGGGTGCGAAGCTTGTGTTGCCCTACAAGAAGCCAAGTTCCGACCACCAACATGTGAGTCAACCGTACTCAGAGGAGGTAATAAATCAAAGTTACCGAGTTCCCGGAGCAGCAGGTGATCTCCTGACATGGCTGTGCAAAGCTTGTGTTGCCCTACAAGATGCAAAATTCCGTCCACCCAAATATGGGTCAACCATACTGACTTCCGAGTTTTGGGACCTGGGAGTCGACAAATGAATATCTGATGACCAGCACACTTCCAATCAGGTAGAATTTCATTGAGCAATGGATAATAATACATCTTTGACAGCCAAAATTATCCAAGGCTCCCTTATCTGACCCTCTCTATCTCCACCCCCTATAACACCAAAGTCCGGACATCCAGCATTCAGCGTCTGATTTCCCAAGATTAACATCTAGCATGAACGGTTCTTCCCCTTTGTCATATCCCATATTCCGGACCTACATCCAATAATATTCCCACGCCTCATCCGGACCTTTGGATGTCCTATCCATGTCTCCAGTCCTCTACCCATCCGGATCCCTGCACCTCTGCACATCCACATCCGCACGTCCACGTCCAGATCCCTTTTCCTTTGCAGCTAGCCTGCATCATTCATCCTTGTCCCATTGCCCTAATGCCACATCCTATATATCCATGCATCTTGTCCGGACCATATCCGATCCGGACTGATCCGATGTATAGATCCGTTTCCTATCTGATATACGATAAGCTTCATAATTCATTTCCTGTGCATATAACGTTAACACAGCCTATCCGGTATTCCTTGTTACCGGTACCTTGGTTATATCTATTACCGGTATGCTTACTGATCCGTTAACCTATGTTCATTTCCGACTCGCATTTTGTCAACTTTTGCATATGCTTCGTACATAGCCTTGGACTCTGCTTATTGATCCTTCCGTTATTTCTCTTAGTATATAAACTCGTGTATATGTCTTGTAGTACCTCAGTCTGAATATCATATTAGTCCTCGCACTAGTCTTCACTCTAAATCCTCTTATCAGTTCTAGTCCTTCAACTTAGTCAATATCCGTCTCAGGCCTAGGGAGGAATTCCCTAGGCCGGAGTTCTGATCCTCTGATCCTCCACTCATCCACTGATCCGTTCATCCGATCCTCCGATGTTTCCGGAAGTCTATCCGGAACTTTCCCCGTGGTCCTCCAGACCTATTCTGCTTCGGACTTTGTCCTTGCAGCCTTTCCTCTGTTTGCTTCTACTCAGGACAAGTCCTGAGTAGCCATTACACGTATCTGTATTAGGATGAAACCTCATTGTAATTTCCGGAAGTTCCTCCGGAACTTTCCCACACTCATCCGGAAGTTACTTGTACCCGTCCGGAAGGTCCTTCCGAAGTTTCCCGCGCCTTCGGATGTCTTCAGACTTTCTTTGGACACCAATCTGAAATTAAGGGCACATACTCGGGTAAGGGGCGCAGCGCACAAGCTGAAGCCAAGCCCCTCAGAATCAGTCCTACCCTTTGTGCATGGTCTTAACACCCTTCCCCTCCTGATAGCATAAACATCTGGCGCACTTGGGCCCTGACTGTGACTTATGAAGCAGGGGAATATACTGAACAGAAATTCAAGGCAGAGAAGACTGGAGGAGGCCCAATCATACCTTCCCCCAACCTAGACACTGATCTGGTGATGGCATGCAATCGCTTGGCTGATGTACTCATAAAGGCATCTAAAAATCCCAGTGGGTCTTCCTGCAGATTCGGAAAATTTGTTTTATCATTCAAATTCCTGCATGACAGTTCAGATGCAGATGGATATTGCAAGATATAGCAAATTGATCTCCCCGAAGGACACCGGGCATAATGAACATAGAGAGGCAAGGTTGCTTGAGAGGTGTCCTCCTGGCCATGAAGGCAAAAGGTTGGTCGACAAACCTGCCACAATTCTCGATGCATCCGGTGCCATCATTGCATGGTACCTCCCAGACGCCCTGACCAACACCACCCAGGTGTGTAATATACATTGTTACTCAATGGATATTGAATATTAATGGAACCTACAGAAGGAAATCAGGGAGGCCACCGATTTGCTCGCTCCAAGCCTCGAAAAAAGTGTAAGGGCTGATGGCAATTGGCAAACTAATCAAAAGTTGTTCAACCAGGGCTCAGAAGATGTTGGACCAACTCCCGGGTGCATCAATCTATCTCTGGCATGGTTTCAACAGGGACACGAGGTAGGATCTGATGAGATGGTGATTCCGGCAGTCATACTCACCAATCCCAAAGAATGTGTCAGATCCGGAGGTATCTGCATCATTGAAGGGACCTTCCTGCAAGAATATCCTCAAAGCCATTGCAAGGCCAGCAGCCATCGCGTCCGCGGCACTCAGAGTCATGCATCCTGAGCAGTACTGGGCAGGGTTGAGAACCTTGTCAAACCTTGGAAATATAGCAGTAAGCAAGGATCTGCCACAGATGCCAGAGGCCCTGCAGTACTGGGCATCCGTGTTTAACACCCTCTCCATCATTTCCAATCGGGAAACCCCCCATCATCGAGACCACATGTCCATTGCTGAATGCTTCGACATTCTCACCACCGTGGGGAACTATTCTAATGCTTGGATGACAATGCCAAACCTTCAGCTGGAGTTCAAGTACAATTCCGGCTGTATGATTGTGTTTTACGGAAGGATTGTGAGACATGGAGTTTATGATGTGGAAGGGGATCGGATTGCTTGGGCATGGTATATGAGGGATGCTGTTCACATTTACGCTAGTGTTCCATCATGTGGATGGGCTAGTGTGGATGGTGCATACAGCGTGTGAAAGATCAAACAAAGAGCAAGCATTGTGACCTATATACATTCCAACAAATGAATACCATGTACCAATTGTGATCCGGACCTCAATACTCAATTTTGAGCATTTCCAAAGTGATATGTGGGACTGAATAATTTGGATGCAAGCCTCGGTATTCGATAATTGGAACTCGGGACTTGACTTATAGGAGTCCCGAGTGCCGGGGTACTGAGTCCTGACACTCGGACCTCAGCACGTGATATTTGAGACTGGGGGAAGATGTATAAATACACTCGAATTAACATTTGTTATTGCCATACACATTTGACAAAACCCTGAACCCCGACATTGTGGACTCCGGACTCGACACTGATCTGAATACAGAGTCCCAGACGCCCAGGTCCCGAGTCCCGAATTTCGGAGGTCAGGGTTCGGCGACCCGGAGCTCGGCAACTGTGTTGGGTGTCAGGGCATCCGGAGCATTGGAGATAGCATTTGTCAGTATTTTGCGTTTCATGGTTCATGTTTCTTGGTTAAGGAATCGGGCATCAGGGACTCAGTATTGAGAACAGTGTTGAGTCCCATGTCACGAGCTCCGAGTCCCAAGTCCCGGAAGCCCAGGTCCCGAGTTCTGAATTTCGGAGGTTGGGGTTCGGCGACCCGGAGCTCGGCAACTGCTGGGTGTGGGTTTTGGGACTCGGGACTCGGAGCTCGTGACATGGGACTCAACACTGTTCTGAATAGCGAGTCCCTGACGCCCGATTCCTTAACCAAGAAACATGAACCATGAAATGCAAAATACTGACAAATGCTATCTCCAATGCTCCGAGTACCCTGACACCCAACACAGTTGCCGAGCTCCGGGTCACCGAACCCCGACCTCCGAAATTCGGAACTTGGGACCTGGGCTTCTGGGACTCGGGACTCGGAGCTTGTGACATGGGACTCAACACTGTTCTCAATACCAAGTCCCTGACGCCCGATTCCATAATCACGAAACATAAACCATGAAACTCAAAATACTGACAAATGCTATCTCCAATACTCCGAGTACCCTGACACCCAACACAATTGCCGAGCTCCGGGTCGCCGAACCCCAACCTCCGAACTTCGGACTCAGGACTCGGGACTCAGGACTCGGAGCTCGTGACCTGGGACTTGACACTGTTCTGAATACTG